GCTGGCGGCCTGCCTCTGCCTCTCTGGCGCGTCCGCAGGGGCGCGTCCGCAGGGGTGCGAGAGAGACACAGCGACTGAGCACCCGGTCCTGATTGGACTGGAAGCCCGTCGTCCTCTTCGTCCTCGTCGTGACGCCCAGCTGCCACGTCAGATGGCGCGTCAGTCGGCGTCAGTCGGCGTCAGTCGGCGTCAGTCGGCGTCAGCCCAGTGAGTGGCGTGCGACATCCCGCAGCGCCCCGCAGCCCATCACGGCCATCACACTGGCATCACGTCTGGCCGCAGGCCGCAGGGCACCGGGGGCGTCCTGGGGCGTCCTGGGGGACGGCGCGGCACAGGACAGGCAGGATAGGACAGGGACATATCAGGCTGGGCGAGACAAAAGGCATTGTTCACTGTTCATTTACCCCCTCCCCCTTCTACCCCCCCCCCCCCCCGGCTAACTCTCACTGCTACCCGGCCTGCTGGAGGTTAGCGTGGGGACTGGACTAGGTACTGGAGACGGGCCAGAGGGTGGTGCACTGTACACCATGGCGGTGGGGCGACGTCGGGTTAGCGCTGATTCCCTGGCCCTTGTTCGGCTGCAGCGGGCTGCAGCGGGCTGCTGCAGGCTGTAGCCGTGCTCGTCGTGCTCGTCAGAGCGGGGCCGCGATGAGAGCGGCTCCAGTGCCTGACGACTCGACCCAGAACCTGGATTGGCGTGCTGTCGCGCCGCCTAGCGCCGCCGTGACGGGTGGCTCGGGTGGCGGCGGCATGGCGGCACCCTTCGACGAGTTCGACGTGACACCGCCGTCACCGAGGACCTCACGGAGGCCCGATGCCCTGATAGCCCCCAACCGTAACTGGCTCTTTTCCTCATACTAGTTGGCAACAACACTTAGCTCATCAGCCACCCTCGAAGCGGGGACGACGGGACTGGGGCGGCGAAGGCGGCGGCCCCCGAGATGACACTGTAGGTGCAAACGAGGCAGCCGAGGGGGGAGGGGGAGCGCCGATGTGGCGAAATCATGAATCCTGTGAATGTTGCCTTATCAGGCATCCGGCACGGCCGAATGAGGCCGACGAGTCCTCGCCCCGCCCCTCCAAGTCCTGGAAGTCCCCGAAGTTAGTAGTTATTTCTTTGCAGCAGCATCGGCGAACCAGGCGAGCGGCACGAAAACGTGTGGAATTCGATGCTCGGGTGCCGTCGTCCCGCGTCGTCCGGGACTCCTCCCTCCAAACAATGAACCGTCATTGACGTATTTCTGTTCTGCTTTCTCTTTTTCGCTCCCTTCGGCGGCCTTGAGCTTGCCGCGCTCGGGCTGTCTGCTCGTCTGCTCGGCCCGCGCGCCGGCAAGTGATTTGCCCCAAGGAAGATAGTCCAAACATGGTGGCAATCAGAGTTCGATTTCGCGGCCCGGAGAAGACAAGACGGGGGCCGAGAGAGGGCGGCCCAGAAAGAGACATCGGAAAATCGGCCCGGAAATTTAAAAAGAAGAAAGTGACGAGGAGGAGGAACACGAGGCCAAACGAAGCGCTGAATGCCCTGAATGCGCGTCAGTGCGAATGCCGCAGTGGAACGAGTGGAACACAACCCGGCGGCTTCTAGAACGTTCTCAATCGAAGCCAAAGTCGTCGGCGTCCGATTTCGCAGTCCCTCGCATAATTTTCCTCTCGGACTAAATGCCGATAGTGGTGCCGCAGATAGGGCTGTCTGAACGGAAGGATCAGAAAGATGCTGCTCAGGACACCGCGTGCAGAAAATTAAAATAATATCCCGTTTGGATAGGTCCCACCGAGATTTGAACTCGGATCGCTGGATTCAAAGTCCAGAGTGCTAACCATTACACCATGGGACCAGATGTACCGGCCGGCCACGCGAAGCGCACTTAGAGTTCGTAGGTTCAGGAGTGCCTTCGCGGGCCGCGGCTCGTCCTCTCTCCCGCGGCGCGGAGGATCCGCGATCCGCGTGGCGGAGTGGAGTGGATGGATTCGAAAAGAAAGCGTCGAGGAGAGAGAGAGAGAGAGAGAGAGGGGGGGCGAGGCGGCGGCGCGGCATAGCTCACTTAGTTCACCAAGCTGCCGCCGCACGGCGAGGAGCGCTGCAGACGCCGCGTCGCGGCACTGCTAGTGCAGGTCGCTGCCGCTGGGTGGCGCCACTGGCCTGACCAGGTCCTTCCGCCGAGCCTAGTGACCCTGGATAGAAAGAGACCGGCGAGTGGGGGGGCCAACGCTGGTTGGTCTAGCGCAGTCACGTGAAGCTGGGGGCCGCCATTTACGTGAATTCGGAAGCAGCAACACACTAATATTCAAAGGAACGTAAAAATAAACAGGAAATTCAAATCAATACCTATTTTTGATCAAATCTCAAGCTTATGTGAGTTTTAAACATTTACGTTGGCCTCCTTTTAACCCTAAAGAGTACTTTTACATTCCTCGCACGTTACTTTGTGTATACAGGTTGGCAGCCTTGCTTTCACGTTTTCAAAAACTCCCGCCTATGCCCACTCCATACAGCGACTTTGAAGTTTCATATCCTTTGAAATTGAAGACCCAGAATATTTGGATACTAAAATAATCGCTTCACTAACTTGTCAAGCCCACATGTTATGGTCGCCTGTCGTTAAAAACGTCTGGAATATCGAAAGACAGTAGTTTGAGGTTAGGGGGCGACGGAGGGCGAGTCCGCCATTTTCGTGAATTCTCTTCTCGCCATGGCCGGGCCACGGCGAGCCGAGCCAAATCCGGAGCCGCACTCGCTGGTCTCTTTACATACAGGGTCACTAGCCGAGCCGCTCGGCGGGTCGCGCGCTCATTTTCGAACTTGTGGCGACGACAGCGGTCTAGCGGTAACAGCGAGTAGCTGCTTGGAGTTGGGGAAGCGGGTTGGATAACCAAGCTATGTTCAACACGCCGCCGAATAATGCAGACGGTCATAGGGACGGACTATCACCGAAAGCGGGACGGAGACAAGTATGAAACAGCGACCGTTGCAACGTTGGAGCGTTGGAGGCAGACAAGGACGGCAAAACTGCAAAGAGGGAAGCGGCCCGCCTCCTGTCGCGCTGCCGTGGAGTCCTTCCTCCTCCTCTTTGCCAAGTTTTTAATTGGTCCTGGAAGTGGTCGAGTGGCACGGACAGGCTGGCTGGAGGAGCTGGACCGAGCTGGAGCACTGGAGACTGGAGGGACTGAAGGGCTGCGGGAGGGTGCAAGGGGCCGTCTGCGCGTCGCTCGCACCGCGCGACCGGGACAAAGTCATGGACAAAGTGCCCCCCGAGTGTCACGCGATGTCGCGCGATGTCGCGCGCAGGTGCTGGTGGCCGGCCCTTTGGTCTCGATGTCCACTGCGCCCGAAGGGCTGCTTGTCTCCGACGTAAACGATTTTCTCTCCTCCGCGCGGAGTGCGGCTGCGGGTTCCGCTGTCCTAGATTTTTGACCTGGTTTTACCCCCGACGGGTGGGGCCAAAAAAAATTCTTCCGTCTGTATCACTTGGCCCAGCGGAAACGCAAACCGGATCGTGTTGCCACGGAGTCTCGTGGTGCTGGTGTTGCTTCCAGGAAGACAACGGGGTGCCAAAGAAAGGGGTCCTCCAGCAGGACGAGGGCGCTGACGGGGTCATCCCGGAGGGCCGCCGCCGTCGGGCGACGAGACAACAACGTGTAAGCGAAAGTGGTGTTTTGTCCGGGTGCTGCAGTGCTCCTCTGGCTTCGACGTGCGGTGGCTTCGGGCTTCGGGGCCGGGTCAGGGCAAGGGCCAGGGTGGCCAGGGCTGTCAGCGCGAGGACGTCCCGCCAGTCCCGCGTGCCCGCGGCCCCGAAGCGAGGCCCCGAAGCGAGGCCCCGAAGCGAGGCCCCGCCCCGAGGGAAGGCCGGGCGGGGCGCGCCTCGTCCGTCTCCACTCCGGAATGAGTATTCCGCTCCCCGCGGCCCACGCCGCGTCCTTTATCATTATTCAGACAACAAAACAGCTAGACCATCCAGCAGCCGGGGCTGCGGGGGCTCGGCCGCAGAAAAGGCAGAGACGGGCCCCGACGGGCCGCCGCCGCAGTGCCCTCCGCCACGTCCACTACCACCGCGCCCCGCCCCGCCCCGCCCCGCCCCGCCACGCCCCGCCACGCCCCGCCCCACCCCGCCACGCCGCGGCGACGACGTGCTTTTGTCATTTCAGTCTGTTGACGAGGAGAGAACACAGGAAGGAAGAATAAGGGCCGGCACGCCACCCGCGGCACCACCGTGGGCAGCGCGAAAAACGTCAAGACCCGCAGCAGCCCCCACCCCCACCTTCCCCGACACGACAGACCGAGCGACAGACTGGCGGACAGCGTGGGAGTGGACCAGGACCAGTGTACTAGGCGTCGAGCACACTGGCGCCGGGTCACTCGGGGGAAGTTTTTGCCGGCAACGAGGAGGTTTCCCGGAAGCGATGGGAAATGGAGAGGAGATTGAGAACAGGTGGCGGTGCGCGGCCGCGTCCCAAATTTCCACCTGGATATTACTGCTCTGGCGATGACTCGGGGGCCGCGTACCCCAGCTTCACACACGTCGGGGTGCCGGACTTGCCATCATCCGTCATCATTGCAGTCTGCAGACGGATTCCGAGAGTCGTTTTCGTCGCTCTGTCTCTCTTGCACTTATTCGGGACGCGCCATCAGTGCGAGAGAGAGACAGAGCGACAAAGACGACTCTCGGAATCAGTCTGCTGTGTTTTCGATGTCGATGAATGATTCATGGTTCATGCCACCATTGATCGCCAGCACCCCATGCTGGTGTGGAAATGAAACTCCTTTCGGGGCGACGCGACGGGCTCGGCAACGGGCCAGCCGGACCGAGGCGAGACATTCTAGCCTCCCCTTTGGTGATTGATCCGAAATCTTCGCATAAATCTAGACCCTTTTTAATTTCGATCGACCTCCTCGGAGGAGGTCTGGACTGACCACGTACTGTGTCCCTGCAGCGGCATCGCTTAAATTTTCCCGCCGGGCGGGTCCACCTGCCGGAGCTTTCTCATTGGTCACTGCAAAGGACACAGGAAAAAATGAGGAACAAAAGAAAGACCACTTGTTTGTTTGTGATGGGAGACCTTTGTTTTCGTTTGGGAAGTTGGAGTTTAATTAAGCAGAAAGTTACCAACGGAGTGGAATCATGTGATTCTTTCGTGAAGCTGTTTTAGTTTGTTTGCTGGGCAATCTCATTGATTGTAAGTGGTTTTGTGGTCTTTAAAAGATTTTGTATCCCCTATGGCGTCCCTTCGTAACCTAACCAAGACGATTTTCATTGGACGCTTATGCTTGTAACACTGCTCTGACTTATTCTATATTTTTGGGAGAATCGGCTTGTGTTTGGCTTTGTATTTCACAAACTGCCGTGCACTGCTGTTCTTACCCACTTGGCCTTTGGCAAAAACAGTGCAACAGGTGCATTTGCCGGGCTCCGCGTATCTTTCATCGCTTCATTTTCTGTAGATTATTTTCTAATCGTCTTTTATTCTTGCTCTATTGGTATTACTCACTGACTATGTCCCCCATTTTTATTCCCTTTTAAAAAAAATATCTGTCTTTGAGTTTGGTTTCTTGAAGTTTGGTTCTTATGAGTACGTATTGTTTCAGTTGATGACCATGACTGTAAACCGTTTCGATGCACCTTTAGCCCAGCTAGAGGTTGAACTTGAAAAAGCTCGTGTTAAGCGTAGGCTGATTCGAGAGGCACATGACATGCAAGGTTCCGTTGAAGACATCAAAAACATGTAAATTCAGTATTGAACCTTAAACTTGATAGTTAAGAGTTTCTCCCTGATTCTCATTGGTACTTTGTCTTTTTGACTTCTTGCAGGGTGGTCCCACCAGGTAGTTCACTTGATGGTGCAGCTAGGAAACATCCAATTCAAAGGGCACCCTCTCGGTTGTATAGAACTGTATTACCCGCTCAAGGTAATCCTCGAGCTAAATATTGCTGTCCCAACACCTGTATTGGTCCAGAATTTGTTGTCAATTCATCAAGTGCTGTTAAGCATATCCGTATGACTGACATTAAGGTATAATGTTATTTACATGTATTTATTTCTTTTTTCCTTTGCTTTTGGGTGTTTTGTCATTGTTGTAACTATGTCACTAACATTTAAACAAAACCTCACTATAGCATTCTTCTCAAATACGGCGTATTACTGTGATCCTTCTTAATGGCCAGAAATTAAAAGTCAGTTGTAACATTAATTCTATGACAACTGGGCAACTTTTTGAGGTAAACTGAGGCAATTATGAAACTGTCTGTCTATTTCATATTTGCCTTCTATTTGTGATGCAGGAAATAACCATTTTTAAAAATTCTTTATCTTTTTAGGTGGTTGTCAGCAGTGAGGCCATAGAAGACAATTTTACTCTTGGTCTGGCAGTTCTTTTGGGAGGAGACTTTGTGTTTCCTCCCTCTGATTTCCGCCTTAGCAAGGTTTCACCTGCAGGACTTTGGGATGAGTGCCGACGACCACATTCAAATGCAGTCTCAAGTTTACTCGAGCCATTCGGTGGACATCCTCCTTTAACCATGTATATGAGAACAAAATTTTTCCTTCCTAGCTTGCGAGGAATACGGTAATTTTATTTTTAAAACTATTTGCTTGATTGATTTTAATTGAATATTCCAAGTTTTAAAATTTGTGTTATACATGAAATTCTTATTTGACTGTGGTTCAGAAGCTGGAATTTAAAGCATCAGTTGTACTTGCAACTCAGACGATGCCTACTCGAGCAACAGTTGCGTAGTCCCAACAGAGGTCAACTATTAATTCTCATGGGATATGCCCTTCAGGCTGAATTTGGTGATTTTACAGAAAAGGTAAGTTAAAGTTTTGAATGTTGTTTTAATATCCATGGTGTTCGCTATCGCCCAACCAGTGTCATATTGCTTCAAATGTAAATTCTGAATGCAGGAACATGGGTGTGGAGATTATTTCTTAGTAGAGCATTACCTTCCTGATGGTGATTCTGTTGAAGAGTCCATTGTGCGCAAAGAGTTGCAGGCAGCACATCAAGAAAGAATTGGTCTTGACCCTGGCAGAGCTGAAGAAATGTTTATTTCTCTTGCGCAACAATTTTCGGAGTATGGCACACACTTTTACTCTGCCACCTCAGTGAGTAAAATTTTATTAAGCCTAAGTTGATTGTCAATAAATGTTTAACATGGTTTTCATTGATTTTTTTTTAAATGCAGGCCCAGAAGTCTGGAAGAGATGCACCAGTGTGGCTTGCTATCTCTGCAAGTGGAATAAGTCTACATGAATGGCGTGCAGGAGCGGTGCAGCGACCTGTAGCCCAAACTTATCATTGGAAAGACATACGAAAGCTGAGTTACAGTCGACAGCAATTTTGTCTTCAGCCATCAAGTGGAAAGAGACTTAAGCTTCGCATGGACTTTCGAAAGTATGGTGGTTGCATTTTTCTTGCAATTTAGTTCTTTTAGGAATTTCCAATACTCACCTGTAATTTGTGCTTTGTGTAGGAGTTACTTCACTTTCCGTCTTGCTTCTCTCCAACATCAGTTCTTCTTGAAATATAGAGCAGAACTGAGTTCTCTTCAATCAGTTGCTACTGGTGGGTTCACCTTCATTTGAGTTAGGTTAATTAATTCAAGTTTTAATGGATGTTTTTACTTTTTTTTTGTGTTTGTCCTTGGTTCTAGAATTTGGTGTTCCCATTAGGAAAAGTAATCTTCCTTATGTTGAAAGCCGAGAACCTCCAGATGTTGCATCCAAATCAGCATCATCTGATGTTAAATCAGTTCTTGGAGCTGTGCTCGGTCCAGTAAAATCACGACAGGTATGCAAACTACTATATCTTCTGGCTCCTGAAATGGACAGTTCAATGTAAATTGAAATAATTAATATTGCTCTGCATCTTGTTTATAGGTTGTTAACCTGCCCAGTCCACCAAAGTCTTCATGCCGATTCAGCCAGTTGGCCTGCATACTGGGTGCTGCTGTTGCGAATAATTCACACAATCTAGAAGTTATTCAAAACAAAGAAAATGAGCTTCCGACTTGGGTACCAAGGGCAGTGCATCAACGTAGTGGATCTTATGATTCAATAGGTATGTTAAGATACTGTATCAACATTCTACTTTGATTGTTATAGTTCCCTGTTTTCATATCTTTCAATTTTATTTCTAGGACTGTTACGAGATACTAGGCATGATTTTCGTAGGGTAGCCACCTCTCCATCTAGCACGCATGCGTCTGTTTCACCAGCATCAACAATTTCAAGGACGTCTGTTCAAACATGTTTTGGGATGATAGGAGGTGAAAATCGTACTCCAAGTTTCCCTCGTCGCTCAGGGGTAAGGATGGGTACCAGAGCATTTTCTCTGGGGAGCAGTTGCCAAACTCTTGCAGGAGCCACAGAACATTACCGCACTACTAGTGTGGGTGGTACCCCATGTGGAACTCGAACACCCTCAGAATGCTCTGCTCCGTCATCGCCCTATGCTGAAGCCTATGTAATAAGTAAGTCTGAGTAAAATAGAAAGTTCTTATGTATTGCTGCTGTTTTACCAGACAATTTCTGTGTTAATTAAGACTTTCTTTCTTTGACTTTTTAGATTCAAGCATCAAATCAGTTGATGAACATTTTCAAATGGATTCTCATGAATCTATAAGTGAATCCCTTGCAGAAAAGATGGGAAACGTTTCCTTTGAGGAAGAGAGAATCCTTCGCACAATAAGGTTTGTGTTGAGGTTCTCCTAAGCTGTTGGCTAAATGTTTGAAAATGGGTGAGAGTGATTATTAAACTTGATGCGTTTTCAGATTACAGAGAGATAGATTAGGTAGTTTCGGTATTGAAATTACCGAGGGGGAAGATGGTGGAGTGTACATTCAATCTGTTCAAAGAGGTGGAGCAGCAGCAAAGCTGGGAACTATTCACAGAGGTAAATGGAAAAAATTTATCTTTGATTTCTATTTGTTGTGTGTGTATTTTGCCTGTTTCTTTGTTTGTTTGTTTGCATGTCTCTTATTTCCTTTTTTTGTTTTATATTTTATCAATTTGCTTTTTTTTTCCCTGTTTCAGGTGACAGACTCATTGCTGTTGATGGGCATTGTCTGCTGAATCGACGATATGAAGAGGCTCTTCGTCTGATGCGTGCAAGTGGAGAGGAAGTAGAATTAGTTCTATCACAGGCTACTCAATTGACAAGTGAGGAAGACTTGAACCAACCATCCACCTCTTATCAAAATGGGTACGTCAAAAACACCAAACAACATTAGTTGCCCATCTTTTCCTATTACTTTATACAACCACTGTAATTTACCCAATTTTTGTTTAAGATTGATGAGACTTGCCGAATGCAACATCAAGAACACCCCTGTTGAGGAGACATATCTTAGAGATATTCGGTATCGCACTGAAGATTGTCCAACCCCACAGCACATTATGATGCCAAAATCTCTGCCTCAACCTCAAGCCCAAGCAACAGGGATCGCTATTGCTGCCCCATCAAAGTGGACTGCACATAAGAAGTACCCAGCACCTAAACCACCTCACATGAGGAATGCATGCTTCATTGCCCCAGTACCAGAAGATTGTATGGATATGCTTGATATCACCATCTGAACATTCAACCTAGATTGTTATTTATTTTAGAATCTGATGCATGAGCTGAGAGATGAAGACTGATGTGTATGCACAATATGTACAATATATCCGTCTTGTATCTTGTAGTAATCTTATCAAGTAATTCAAACATGTTTGAATATTTCCACCTTTTGTTCTACAGAGTTATGAGTGTCCAAACTTGTTATAGTTTTGTGGTATCCCACTGCCTGGTTCTCTTAGGACAGCAGATATCTGAAGAACGCAGTATTCCATTATAAGTTACCATTTGTATTCGTCCAATCAATTTTCCTCCTATAATAATTAAGTGCTTTTACACCAGTGTTGTTTTGTGCTTTCCACAACTATCTTTCTGTAGGGAGAAAAACAATGTTAAATGTATATTTATCCTACAAAAGCAATTGTAACAACCGTACTCTCTCGTGTTATTGAACACTTATCTGTTGTGTAAGCATTTTATTAGTCAACTCTAGCGTCTTTAGTGTATCTGGAATGTTGTTATTTTCCAATCCTTGGTACAAAACACAGAGTAAAATTTTATATTACTACTCTGTTATTTGTATCTTGTAATGGAAAAAAAATGGAAGTTATATTCTGGCTACTTGCTCTACCAGTTTGAAGTGTGATATAATTTTTTGACTTTGTAAAGCAAAGACATATTTTTATAAATTGACATAGTACTTAAAGTGTGTAACAGATCTGATCTGCGTGTTCTGTTTGCATTAGAAATTATTTAAATTATAGGCATATTAGACAAACCCTTTTTCATTGATCTGGACCATATTTATCTTTTATGCCAATAATTATTATAGCAATTCATTTTCAAGACTACCCTACCTTAGTAATAGTACGGTCGCACTGACTGACAATGAATGCAGAGCAACAGTCTTGTTTTCTAATGTTGGAATTTTATCTGTCCTCTCTCTTTTCTCATGATCTCCTGCTTCTGAGGATGCAGATTTGTTGTTCCTATTTTCCTAAGCTTTTATGTATGTTTTTATACATAAGTTTATGCCAATGTATAGCTTCTGTTAAATAGTGTTGTCTTGTACTTCTGACCCTTTTTTTAAATTTTATAATATTGTGTTTATCATTTGAGTTTTTGTACCATTTTTGTCTCAAATATAAAAGTTAATTGTGCTAGAACACTCTCCAATAACTCCAGAAGCCATTTTTGGGCGAGTCATAAGATCAATCAAAAGAGAACACAGACATATCCTAGAAGAGAGGATCATCGGGGAGGCCCTTCGCCCCGAGAGAGTACGGTGTCTCGGTGGCTCAGTGGTCGTGGTTAGAAGTACTTGGGTTCAAATCCCGGCTGGTATTTTCCGCTGCCGCGCTGCTTTTGCAGCAGCGTGTCAAATGGGTGGCCTACCTTGACGGTGCTTTGTAAAAGTGCCAGCACTTCGAGGCAAACCTGGACACAATGATGATAATAGACGCGAAGCAAACACTCGTCTTCCCCTTCCCCCTCTTGGGGCCCCTTCCCCTTCCCTCTCTAGGGGGATGGGTGCCAAATGGGTGGCCTACCTTGGTGGCGCGGCTAGCTTTCCCCCTCTAAGATTCAAAAGAGTTCCCGCCGTCGGCTCCCCCGTCAGCCGACATCTCTACCATCTCAGCCACTGCGCAGTGATGCGATCAATCTAAGAGTGATGCTACCAACCGATATCAACAGTCTCGCTGGGGAAACTGTTGTTACTCTTGACATTCGAATCTCAGTCTCTCTCATCGCGGCAGACATCTCTGCTCACTGAACCATCTGACAGCCGAAACTTGGCCAGCCCAAACTTAGACTGCTATGCATTCAAGCGGTCCACTGAGAAAAATAATTTCATCCCTGAGACGCGAACACATGTCCTCATTCGTTCGTGGCGGTCGCTGCTACGCTGCCTCTGCGCCGATGTCGCTTAAGTTGCCTACCTACAGGGGCCAAGTGCGACTATAGTTGCCTACCTTTCAGGCGGGTTTGCCCCCCGATCCGCCCTTGTGATTGGGTGGCGCCGATTATTTACTACTGGCCGCTCGCGGGGTTAGCTACCTTCCCTGACTGTGCTACCTGCCAAACATGTTCCCACATGAATTTTGACATTCCAACTCCATCGATTGTGCCACCCTGGCGTATCCTATCCGACCGCAAATTTTCCGCCGCGACGGGCCAGCAGTCTGAAAACCGGTGAAAAGCACTTTTGGGAGAAATGGAGGCCTCTGATTGGTCGAGACCGGTCACGTGACCAAACTTACAATTTCCAGTCCCTGGAGAAACCGCCTGAGAGAGCTCAGGGGTCGACCGCCAGAACCGCCAGAGAGGTCACGAGGAGGGAAGTTCGGACGCTCGACGAAACAAGGACCGGGGTCAATGGGGATGGCCGTCGACTAGTCAAATCGGCGAGCGAAGCCGCGAAGCTGCCCCCGCGAGCGAATGGGATCGCAAAGTGCGCCTGCGCTGGGCGGAAGGGGGAATGACTAGAGAGACAACAGGGAAAGGTGTGACAGGGGGGGGGGGGGCACTGCAGACTGCAGAGCCTGCAGAGCCCCCGAGGCCTTGGCGGGCCGGCCGTGGCGTAGCAGAAACGCCTAGTGACAGAAAACAGTCGGCAGCCGGCTGCTTGAGCCGAAACGTTTTATAGAACGATAACAGCTAGAAGGGAGTTAGGGCGCCAGAAAGATAAGATAGGAACGGGAGGAGGCGGGCGGCGATTGGCGAGCATTTGTTCTCGCGGCACTGCGGAGCACGGCGGCCTTGTCCTTCCTCGCCATTTAAAGGACCAGCCTCCCTTCAACAGGTGTCCTTGCGTCCTTGGCGCGCCGGCCGCAGTGAAAAAGCAGCTATCATGGCACAGAAGATGGCATCCTTGAGGATCGACCGGGCGCCCCTCAAGTGCCCCCCTCTAGAGGAGGTCGCATCGGGTAATTAATAGAGTTATCATTCTATGGACGGTGTTTGTTGCTTGATATGACACTTGCAAAGAATGTCAGTTTATAATTTGATTTAGAAGCTGTATTTGATTCTTGTCTTGTCCTTCCAGTCTTGTCCAAGGGACTGCAGAATGGCTTTTCACAAGTCTCCGTGGAGGTTGTTGATTGCCCAGATCTTTCTCAGCAACCGTTCACCTTGGCAAAACAAGGTTAGAGACATAAAATAAAAGAGATACCCAAAGAAAAATATAATTAGTTTCAGATGGGTTGCTGTATGACTACAGCCCCATTGCCTTTTAACAAAATAATAGGCATTTAATATTTTCTCTATCTGTTTGTACTTTTACTGAAACTACTTTAATTAATTCTCAGGTCTGGGCGGGAAAACTGCCCTGATTGAATCGGGTGGTGTTCCATTCCTGCTTCCCTTGGTACAGCGTGATAAGATGTACGACATGAAAGAATTTGGAAAATTAGCGGGTCTTGATTCATGTTTAATTATTGGAGCTGGGGCAGGACCTTGGCCATTTATTGGGGTCAACTGTGAGGTACGAACTTAAACCGTCATCTGTTGATGTATATATTTTTTTAGAGTGTGCATGACACGATAGTACTAATTTGACATCCTGTTGTTTCAGCTGATGGCAAATCTTGCCATTGATGGTGATAAAATTGATAATCAAAGTCGTATGGCCAAAGTAAGCCCTAAGGATTCTAGTTGTGATCTGCAGGTTTTGCCAAATGACGAAACTCGTCATGCTTTACTTGGAAATCTGTTCTGTTCTGAAGGGAAACCAGGAAAGGTAATCAACCTGATACTCCTATGATTTGAACCCTAGTATTTTATTAACTGAAACCTTCCAAAAACCACCATACAGGTGTTGAAGGTTCATTGCCGCAAGCGCACAGGAGAGGATGACTTCATTACAAGTGTGAGAAAGGTCTTAGCATCGCACTACAAAGATGAGCCTGTTGGTCAGTATTTAATTGTTGTAGCCAAAGTCAAAAATTCTTGAGTTTTTTTTTTCACTTTAAAATTTCTGTTTTTAATAGGCCTAGGAGGAACATTCCTACTGAAGGAGGGAAAAGCACGTCAGCACGTTATGCCTGATTTCTCTACCACACCTCTGCACACTGATGATGATGTCAATTCTTGGCTTAAATTCTACAACATGTCTGCCCCTCTCATTGCTGTGGGAACTCTCGTTTCTGCTGATCCTGTGAGTATAATTACAGTCAACTCAGAATACTTTTAAAAATTCTGAAATTGTGCAACTCACAATATGATGTCTGTCCTTTCAGGGCCTAGACCTGCGTGTTCAGCATTTCCACAGTTTCTCTCACCACGGAGAAGGCGGTCATTACCACAATGATACTACACCAGATACTGCTGAGTACTTGGCCTATTTCAACTTGGGGCAGTCCATCATTAGGGTTGATGCACCCATCGAAACTCACCACATAGGAAGAGACTGAAATTATCTTAGCACTCTTTAGTGTTAACATCACTAAAAATTTTAAGGATATTGAAAGTTTAAAATAAATGTAAGACACAGTTATAAAAGAGATTTTATTTTCCTGTTTGCAATACATAGGAACCTTGCAGTTTGGCAGTATAAAACCTTTGTACTAAAAAAATACTAAGAATCAAGCTAATGCAGCCACATTTGTCAGTTTACAACAATGAGTTGTACAAATCAAGGCATAGTGAGCAGTTATGATTCATTAACATTACATTTGGCAAAGAAAAAAGTCATTAAAAATTATGAAGTAGAAGTAATTTAAAAACTAATATAGAACAGTACAAAAAGATACATAGCTATTTGAAGAGAGCAGCATAAGTCATGTAACTGTTAGGGCCCATGAAATGACCCTGGTCAAAGTTGAAACAGGAAGACAGCTTCTGAAGGACTTCCACATCATTCACAGCATCATGGGCATCTTCATCAGATATTTGGAGGAACTCAGCAGCCAAGTGGGTCTGTGAGCACCTGTCAAAACGCCTTAACTTTGCCCTGAACAAAGGCAGGGTGTCAGCAAAGCCATTGACTACATTACTGAATTTGTCAACCAAGCGATGACGCTTAATCCAATAAGCCAATCTTAGGCTGTCAAACTCTATGCCATTGTGAGCAACTAATAGGCACTGTCCTCCTAGTCCTGAGAGATACTCATAAAATTTATCTAAAGCTTCCTTAATGGGCACAGAAGGTAAAAGCTGACCACGACGGTGCAACTGGCCATCTACATTAGTCATATGGTTAATTTTAGTAGCGGCAGCTGCAATTTTTTTGATTGGATTAACAAAGGTCTGGAAAGAACTGTCACCACACCGTGCAGCAAGCTGCAGTATATCACAGGTTTTGCCCAAGCCTGATGTTTCAAGATCATAAAAAACAATTTTTACAATAGGAACATTGCCTCTGTTGATGCTTGTGCTTGTATTGCTGTGATTCACTTTTATGATGCTTGTGCTACTATTGCTATCATTGACTTTGTTGATGCTTGAGCTAGTCTTCTGATCATTAACTTTGTTGATGCTAGTGCTGATAATGCGAGCATTGGTTTTGTTGAGGCTTGTAACGGTGCTGCAATCATCAACTTTGTTGATGCTAATGCTAATACTGCGATTAGTGTAAGTGATATAGTTTCTGGGATCCATAAAGTGGCCTTCATCAAACTCAAAGTGAGCGCACAGCTTCTGGAGCGCTTCCACATCCTTGGCAGAACCGTCTGTTATTTTAAGGAACTCAGCAGCTAATTGGACCTGGGAGCAATTGATGGAGCGATTTAGCTTTCTCCAGAATAAAGGCAGAGTATCAGCAAAGCCATTGACAACCTTGCCAAATTCATCAACCAAATGGCAGCACTTGATAGCAAAAACTAATCTAACGCTATCAAAGTCTGTGCCATTGTGAGCAACAAGGAGACATGGTCCTCCCAGTCCCAAGAGAAACTTGAGAAATTGACCTAAAGCATCTTTAAGAGGTACAGAAGCTACATGCTGGCCAAGGCGATACAATTGACCATTAATATTAGTCAGGTGGTGAATTTTAGTTGCAGCAGGTTCAATCTTTTGAACAGGATTAATGAAAGTCTTAAAGGAGGTGTTACCGCTCCTTGCAGAAAGGCTGAGTATATCACAGTTTCTGGCCAGGCCTGACGTTTCAAGATCATAGAAGACTATCTTGAAGAACGGGTCCTCGTCGTCGGGGTTGCACACGTAGACTGGGTGCGAATCTGTTGCCCCTTTGTTGAGTGGCGATTTGCCTGCGTGCTGAGGAGGGCCTGCGAAGCCTGCGAACAGTGCATGTGTTGGTAAACAAACCATGGGCAACATAACCTCTGCAGAAAAAGGCCCCAGCAAAAGTGGACACAATTGACAGTGGAGGGGTAACGCAAAATGGTACCTCCACATAGTTTTTAAAACTCACCAGCAGCATCTGCGGTGTTGATGTTGATAAGATTGAGCGTTCCCAGTCTCCTTCGGTGCACGTTGCCAGTTCCCACCAGATTCACCGACGAGCAGCCGTGACATTGGACATGCATGTCCGAGCCGCCTTGGTTTTCCTTTTCCAGGAAGCACAGGGGTACATTGCAGGAGGAGCATTTCGTATTGCTGGCAAATACTTTCTCTGGTGGTTTCTCTTGAGCAACGGGCGCGCATTGGGGCACCGGCACCGGCCGGGGAGCAGGGGCAGGTTGAACGGGAGCAGGTTGAGTCTTCCTCCTCCTCCAGTAGAACCGTTCATACGGCACAAAATTTCTCCAGCCACTCCAACGACGATAATAAGGCATGGCAGCAACAAGAAGTGGCAGTCAAAGTGGATGCACTAGGCACACCGACACTGAAGAACAGTTGTCGTGGTCGACAAGTGGCCTGACCACAATCCAAAATGGCAGGTGGATGGCGGGAGATCAGTCAGCTGTAAACTCGTCGTGCGGATAGTCCACCAACACGCACTCTGATTGGCCCAGCCTGCTCCTTGCGCCGCGCGGTGCATCCAATCAGAGTGCGTTCTGGTGGCTATACGCAGGATAGGGTGAGTGAGTTATGTGCAGTTTTGCGAGCATGGAGTATTTTCTCTGAACACTGGACAGTCGACACACTTTCACCCAATGACAGACAAATCAGATCTTTGCGTTGTGGGAGGTAGTTATGTAGGTCAATTTTTCTCAGCTTCATTTAGTTTTTAAAAACTATTTTATATTGTATTTGTGGTTGAGCTGAGTATTTGGGTAAGACAAGAGGGAAAAAAGGGGGGGGGGGTGTTCCGTTGGGGGGGAGGATGCAAAATGAGAATTCGGGATAATGTTATATAATTTAATATTCTCTCTTGAACTTGAAGTTGCACAGACATAAGCATCGACAAATTCTTCCATACTATTACACTGAAAATCAAATATATGTCAAGTATGTGACAGCTAAGCAGCTTGATTACTGAAATTTAAATTTTGGTACATAGCAAAATATCTTTTTCCCAAAATCCAAAAAAAATTGACACCAAATAAGCATAGTCACAGAAGTCACATCTTGCAATGTCATGTCAATCTTGGTTCGAGTAAATCAAATGTACACTTTCTTTGATAAACATCTATGAGGCACTTTATGAAATAATCTTTTAGGCAAAGTATACAGTTCAGGTCTTGAGGATATGGTAACAATTGATAAAGACCTTAACTATATACAAAGACCATTTGGAAACTGCTCTTGCGCACCAGGTAAACAAAATCTGCATCAAGTTATTTTAGCTTTCTGATGATGAATTATTTTGTATTAAGCAGAGGTATGCCAACTTCGAGACAACTGTCATGATTTCAGAGTGATTCACAAAAGATGATGGCTAAATTTCTGAGAAAGTAATTACTAGATGCAGAATTGAATATTGCAAGAACTACAGTAATACATACATAACTAGTATATACAAAACCAAAATTGTGTGTTACAATATATAGCCTTTGGGGGGAGGGGGAGACACTAATAATTCTCTAAGGAATAAAACAGGTAATTTTCTACTTTACAATAACATATATACAGCATACTATCAATGCTTACTGACTTGAGGAATGTTAGCTTTGGTATGTGCTTTATGTTTCAAGAGTGCATATGCGCAAGCACACAAACGTGCTAAATTGAACAGAAAAGTTGCAAGTACTGAGCTTGTTAAGTGTTTCCGGCATAATGATTCATATCATGAAAACCCAATGCATCATTTTGCAGGAAACAATTAGAAGCCAGACTCGAAATTTAGTAATTGAAATGCCACTCTAAGTTCAATGCAGAAAATTCTGCAAAATGCTGCAATTTCAGAAATGCTTTAGTCTATTGGTAAATAAGACAAAGTTTTCTCATCTCCATAATTATGATGTTTTCACCACAGAATGCTAATTAAAGCATGCAAAATGGTATTCATAGGACAAATACTTAACAAGGATGTTACAAAAACAATTTTCAATTTAATATCTTAAACTGTTATAGGATGCAAGAATATACAAGAAAGATAGACTACACTCAATATTAATATAACTTAGTGGTGAACTTCGAGTTAACAACACAATCAACAAGATATATATATAAAAAAAATCGAGAATCCAGATGAAAAAATATGCACATTACAATGTTGCATAGTCGTTTGTGCTTCTTATACTGCTGTTATTGGGTTCTGTAGTATTTATTTTGGGAAGATTCAAACAAAACCTGTTACAACTGCAAAAGATGAAATTCATCATCATGTGCTATAAAATATATATATATCTTCAGAAAGAAAAGAATTTTGAACTCATTGGATCAACAGTACGGAAACATCTAACATTAAGAAACAAAAATATATACAAACAACAATAAATTATTAGATCACATCTATCATAGAGTGTCAAACATGCTGAGTCTAGTACAGAAGATTTTCTGAGGTGTGCAACTGTCCAAACAATAAGCAATGTCTCTACACAAGGTAATATAGGAAATTCTTGTCTGTTTAGTGCACGCCAATGATATGAGGCATTGTTTCTCCATTTGACTAAACCTTCTGTTGAATTCAATTCAACCATACTTGTTCCTTGCATCAAAATGCTACAAATAATTTAGTTACATTTTTGCTCAAGTTCTGAACTCATAACACGACAAATCATCTAATCAAGATGCTGATTTCTTAACTGGTAAACATTAACTTTGGCTAGATCACATTCAAGTTTTGTCAGTCACAGGGCTTGCACACTAAGCTACACTGGCGATCCCTCTCCACTGCTTCCGAAGTCCTTCAGCATTTCTCTCAACCGAAGGATCTCTTTTGATGCAGCGGCCAGGTCAGATTGAAGCTGCAACTCTTTCTCACGTAACCGCTTGATATCTCTTTGGCAAGTCTGCAAAAGCAATTTAAAATTCAGGTCAGTTAGCCCAGTAATGTGTCACAAACAACGATTTAAGTATAATTGATAAGTCTAACTTACCACATTCTGCCGCAAGAGATCCAGCTTATCACACTTTAATCTGGTAACTTCTTGCCTCAGTGAATCTGTGTTTGGTTTGTCACCACAGCACCCTGTTCCAGTTTGAATGCTGACTCCATTTGATGGTACAATGCCATCGGTGCTTCCAGTTCCACTGCTATTAGTGGATCCACTTGTATTGTTACAGCTACAGGCATGACAGTGTGGAGTGCCATTGGGACCACTTTTGTGGGGTGTTTCAGCTGAAGACATGCTCTCTAGTCCTGTGTCGCTGTCCACGTAAACTGCTACATCCAGGTCCATGCTGTTCAATGATGATGAATCGCTTTCTGACAGGGTTACCCTGAATTTGAAAAAAGAAAGCCAAAAATTAATGTTTGGTTGGAACAACAATGGTCAGGAGTAGTTTCAAATTATCTAACAACTCTTACCTTTGAGAGCGATGTGCATACATGTCAGGACTGGACACAGGCGATGAAGGAGAACTTTTCTTGTTAGATGAAACAGACTTGGACTGAGACCTCACACACTGTAAAGTACCAGAAAACAAAAATCAGTTAAAATCATGAAGCAAGATGCTTGAAAAAATGAGCAGATGAGAATAAATAAATTTAATCTTACAGCTGGTGTAGTTCCTTCCGAACTGTTTCCCAGTGACGACTGAGCAATTTGAGCAGCAGAAGATTTTCGCATGCCGTTCTGATGAGTGGGGTTGTTGTTATTGTTGTTATTATTTAAGTTTTGTTCAATACTTTGAGACCTTCCCTTGGTAGAAAGTGCTTTTCTGACAGTATCAATAAACCTACTCCCAGCTCCACCACTGCCTTCTGATTTAGGGGTGTCTGGGGTGGAACTTGTACTTCCTGACGTTCCCCCTACAAAGCTTTGAGACTTGTCTTGCAGCTCATCCACCAATGACTGAAGGAGTGAAGAACGCGTTCGCAACTAAAACAAAGAAAAAAATATTATTAATAACTGTTGGATGTTACTCTAGGTGAATGAAAAGAAATGTATGAGCTTACCTCCAGCTTAGCAAACTTTTCTGCTTTGTAGCAGGCATTCTCTGCATTGATGAGCTTTGTTAGAAGAAACTCTCGAAATTCTGGCCCCTTCCTAAACACTGCTGGGCTAGGAAGGGCTGGGCCAAAGAATGGTACATCATCTCTCGCAGTGACACTAACTTTATACCTAGAGGAGAAAAAACAAAAGAATCTTATTAGATATGGGACTCACTTTGAGTTTGTTGCTGCTGGCTTTATTTCCCAACAGCCACTTTCGGTTTAATCTAGTCGGTACATACCTAGTGTTTGGAGTGTTGGGTTCCAAGACTTGGACCACAATGTAGGCATGTAAAAAGTGAGAGGCAATCATGTCTGGCGAAAAGGGTGTGTTGGATTCTTGAAAAACAACAGCTACAATGTCATTTCCTGAGAAAGGGACAACCAGATTAGAACAAATCCTTATGAAACCAGATCATCGGGATGTATTCTGAATTTACATATTCTACTTACCAATGTGCCTTTTCCGCTGCAGTTGCTGGGGGTCATTTTCTGTGTAAGGCAGCATGGTGGAAACATGGAACATGATTTCTCTGTCTTTGAACACATCATAAATGGCTTCGTCCCCGGTCTGTCCAAACTGAGTGTCCAAACCCCCTCGGTACCTGAGAACAAGAACAGCATTGGTCAGAACAAACCTTGCAGGACGCAGTGTAGTGGCGACTCTTCGCACCCCTTCGGAACTCACCCCTTGTGGTCCTTGAGCTGGATGCGGCGTCCCAGCACCTGCAGGAACTCTTCCAGAGCAGGGGAAGAGTGGCGGTTTGAGAAGAGCTGCTCCTCGGAGGTCTGGCCGAAGCGTTGGTACAGGACTCCGAACTTGAAGTTGGACACGATGACGTGCTCGTCGTAGGCCGCTATCAACTGGGAAGCGCGCGGACAGAGCACGGGGGACACACGGTCGACGGTCAGGCCGTCGTTCAGGAGCTGCAAAACACAGACGAGACAGAGCGTTAGTTTGGCTCAGCCAGGACACGGGGAAGTCCCTGTCGGTCCCAGTGGTGTCCCGTCGCGCCTACTCTTTGCCAGCCCCGCTGAGGACAACCTGCTCGTTCCACAAGAGCAGCCCTAGCAGCCCTTGCCCTCACCTGCCGTGACCACCACGCCGTGCCGGCGAGACCGGGCCAGACCGGGCCAGACCGACGGGTAGCGACGCAGCCAAGCCTTCGCCTCGCACGGAAGCACGCTTGGCTACGCACCATCCTGCGGGCAGGGCCGGGCAGGGCCGGGTTGGCTCGGCCAGGACAAGGCTCCCTTCGGCATACAATACGGGAGGGCGTGGGTGGGCGTGCGATACCGACCGGGGGAAAGGGAAAGAGTACCTCCCCCTACCGACACGACACACCGAAAAAAACCTGAGCAATAACACGGGTATTCAGCCAAAATAACACGGCAGGCCAGACAACGGCTAACGCGCTCCCCCAGCCAACGTGTACGACGTACTGCTTCCCGGGCTCTCGGCCGCCAGGGCCGGGTTCAAATTTCAGGGTGGTCACGTCGCGTCGCGTCGCGTCGCCGTCTCGGCGGGACGCGCGGCTGGGGCGCTTCTCGGCGTTCAAAGGAAGCTGCCACACCGTAAACGCGAAGCAGCGTTACTTCCGCGTGACGCCGTGCGGCGTGCGAATCCCGAACAGCATCGCTCCGTCTCGCTCGCGCCCCCACGAAACACCGCGAGTGCGACAGAGACGGAGCGACGACAACGACGGAATCGCTCGGCAGCCGCGCCAAGTTCGCCATCGCCACTGCAAGACCGCACTGCCGCGGTGCGCGGTATGCGCGCACGCAGCCGGGCCGCGAAGACGACGTCCACCGCAGAGACGCGACGCGCCTCCGACGAGCGAACCGCGTTACCGCGTTGCACAACCAACGCCACGCATCGCCTGGGCCTGCATCGCCGGCATCGCCCTGGCGCGACCGCCACCGCCATCGCAATCTCCGCGGCGTGGAGTCGGACGGAGTCCCGCAGAGCGGCGCCGCGCCAAAGCGACGCCAAAGCGCCCCGCGCGCCACGGCCCCACGGCGCACCGCGACGACTCATCCCGAAAGATGAGCACAAAAAGGCCCGGGGGGAACGCGAAGAAATAATGACCCCAGTCGGTCCTGGCGGTCCTGCCGGGCCGTCGCGGTGGTTAGCGCACCAATCGCGGCGCGGCGCGTCGTCCCGGGTCCTGGGCCCGGCGGGGCTGGCGGGCCGGCGTCGTTAGGCGGCGCAGCCAAGCACCGCGAGGCACGGGACGATGACGGCCGGGCCGCGACGCCCCCGAGACGCCGTCCCGCCACCGGCCTTTCTGCTGTCCTGCCCGCGCGGCCGCGGCCACGTGTCACGCCGTGCAGCGCGGCACCGCGGCAGTGCAGTGACTCAGCGTGCCGTCGACCCGTGGCCGCGTCGCCCAGCACGCCGTCGAGGCCCCGGAGGAGGCGGAGCGGGGACGGACGCCCGGGCGCCCCGGCGTCCAAGTCACGCGTTTTTGCGGCGTCCCGCTTGGCGTCCCGCTTGGCGCGCTGCAGGCTAATGCCGTCACTCTGTCCCAAAGGGTGCACCCACCTTGGCGAGGGCGGCGGGCGAGGGGTGCGCGGCGAGGCACGACGACGGCAGCAGCTCGTGCACCGTGCCCGTCCGCAGCCGCAGCAGCAGCCGCGCGTGCTCCTGCTCCACCTTGAGGGACAGCAGCATGGGGCCCAGGGCGTCGTCCACGCCCACCCAGTTGCTGTGCTCCTGCGACAAACAAAAACAAAACAAATACGTTAGTCGAAAGGCCGAGAAGAGAAGCGGGTCACACAAACGGGGGCAACGTCAAGCAGCCCTTCCCGCCGCGACGGAAGTTTCCTCGCGTCACGCCGAGGCGGAAAGGGGGGGGGGATGGAGGACACACACCACTGCAAGGACGGCAAACGGAACAAACCCGCGGCAAGGACTCGGCCTCGGCCCCGCCGCCACCCTTCGAAGGCCTGGATCGAGGAACCAGCCCTTGAGCGCGGCGCGTGTTGCCACACCGTGTGCTGCACCCTCCACGGCGACGAGAAGCCCGCAGGACACGACTTCCCACGCTCGGCCCCGCCGCCCCCGCCCGCCGCCCCCCGCCGCCCCCCCGCCCGCCCCCCGCCCCGCCCCCGCCCCCGCCCAGCACGCTTCCCCGCCACCGGGCGGCTAGGGGTGCACGCCACGCCGCCACCGCGGCCCCTGCGATACGACTCCGCGACGCCCACCCTCGCCCCACCGGAAACACACCGGAAGCCCGGCAGCCCGGCGCCACCACAACACGGGGTGGATGCAGCACGCCGCATGCACGGTGCGGCACACCGGACCGCACCGCCAAAACCAGGGCGGCCCAAAAATTTTTACCGCCGACTGGGGAAATTTCACGAAAACGTGTTGGAGGGAGACGTGCCGGCCGCACCGCGCCACAGCGAAGGGAGCTTCCCTTCCCCCTGCGCGCCCCGCCCCCACCCGCCCCCGCTGCAGCCCCTGGAGAGCGCGGGCCTGCGCGGGGCAATGCAATCTCGAGGAGCTCGGCGTGGCGCGGCGTGGCGTGGCGCGGCACCACAGACAGACACGGGACCACCTCGCCGAGCAAGACGTCTGCTCCGCCATTCAAATACGTTCCGCGCAAACAAAAACAAAACAAGATCAGCAACAGCAGCAATCTGGCGGTGCAAGCAATCCGGACGGAGCGGGGCATTGTCCACGCGTCGCGCCCCTCGGCCCCTCGCCGATGCAGCGCCCGATCTCGTTCCATCGGACAAATTGCCCAATATCTTAGCCACCGCTGCACTCCCCCCACCCCGCCCCGCCCCGCCCCGCCACGGCGTTCCTCGCAGGCAATCGCCCGATATGCGCTCGCCAGCCCGGCCTGCCAGCACACTGATTCCGAGGGTCTGAATCGTCTCCCTCCCACTCATGGGGCGCCTCTAATAGGTGCGAGAGAGACAGAGCGACGAAAGCGACTCTGAGAATCAGTCTCTGCAGTGGGCTGCCCCGCGCCCGACCACCATAAATACTGCCCCGCGACGCCACGCGACGGCAGCGTCGCGCCGCCGGATTCCACAACGCTCGCATTAATTACTTGATTGCTTCGACGGAACTCCCCCTCCCCCTCCCCCAGCCACCTTTCCGTTCCACCCCTTCCCAAATACTCCAGTCGCCCGCCTTTAATTGCCAACTCCAGTGTGCGTGTGTGTGTGTGTGTGCGCTCTCATCCGCGAATAGACGACGCGTTATGCTCATTTCTTTGCAATGCAATGAATGTTATTACTCTTTCAACGTGATCCCCCATTAGTGCATTGCGTTCGAGGCGGCGTGGCGCGGCGTGGCGGCGATGCTGGCCGCATGCCACGACGACGGCCAGCCTGCTCAGCACCCTCGCCACCGCCGCAGCGCCGCCAGCCAATCACAGTGCACACACCACCACTTCCACTCCGCCCGGGGCTCTCTTCGCGCCTCTCTTCCCATAAATCCACACAGCCCGCTCCGCACAGAGACAGACCGCGGGGCGTGGCGGTCTGGACACACGCGGCGCGATGTCGCGACTCATTTGCAAGAGTGTTGTGCGCCCCGCCCGCCCCGCGGCACGGCCGGCGGCCACTGAGAGGCCCTCGAGGCCCTCGACGACGTCACCGGGCGTCACTGTATCACCGCACCGGTCCGCGTTTTTACCGAGCAAAACGCCGCCGCCGACTTTTTGTCGCGCGTTTAGTTCCGAAGCGCCAAACCGAAATTTATTTCTGCGCTGCCGAACAAGTTGAACAGCTGCTCGCGCCGGCTCGCGCCTCGCTGTTGGCGACCGCGTCGTGGCGACCGCGTCGTCCCCAAGGCCGCCGCGCAGCGCCTCGGCACGCCCGGCCCCTCGCCCGGCCCGCCAGGAGGAAGAAAGGCTCCCGACGGCGACGCACACACGCGCGCACACAGAGGCGCAGTGGCCCATGAACGCCATTATATTCACCACCACGATGATAATCATGACGGTCGTGGTCATGAACGGCAGCGCCGCCATACCACGATCCAAAAGTTTTAGTTTTTAATGACCCCAATTTATGCGTGAATTTGTTTTTGGGGGGCTTTTTTTTTGCAAAAAGAAAGGAAGCACCCCGAGCCCCGCCCCCTCCACCAAATCATACACGATATCCCGCCAGAGATTCGGAAATGAAGATGGATGTCTGCGAGGTGGCCAAAAAGAAGTCGGGGCCGCGACGCCGACGAGGAAAAAGACGAGGGGAGGGGAAGGAGAGAAAAATAGACCCACAAGACGGCGACGCCGCGGCGGGACGCGGCGCGACGCGCTCTGAGGTGTAGTAGGTGGGTGCGGGCTGTTTTCAAATGCAAAGCCCGCTCTGGACTCTCTGGACGCGGCCAACGCAGTGACACTGATTGCTGGGCAGCGTCGCAGCGTCGCTCGCAGCCACCAGGAGAAAGACTGGACGAGGCCAAGAGGAGGAGGAAGAAGAAGGAGGAGAGGAGGAAGCGGGCCATCACTCGGGAGACATCCTCCCAGGAGTTCTAATTCGCGCGGCCGGACGCTGGACCTGCAGACTGATTCCGAGGGTCGTTTTTCATCGCTGTCTCTCTCGCACCCATAGGGGGACGCCGCACGAGCGCGAGAGAGACAGAGCGACGAAAACGACTCTCGGGAGTCCGCAGGCGGAAGCAGGGACAGGGCAGTGCAAAACGAGGCGCGGGGCATTCGCATTGGGCGCGGGAAGGGAACTCGTTGCATCACAATCGGCCGTTAGGAAGGGCTGCCGCTGCTGGACGAGGGGCGCCGTCAGTGTGGGCACAGCGGGACAGGCATAGCCAAAGGGGCTTGCGTCAGCGCGTCAGCGCGCCCGGCCGACCGGGAGTCGAACCCACGACCACAGCCTTTGTGCGCCACACATAGTAATTGGCGCCCGCCAGAAAGCGACTCATGCCGAACAGGCTGGTCGCTGTCTCTGCCGCACTCGAGGGGCGTCCCGCGAGTCCCGCGGGGGTGCGAGAGAGACGACAGGCGGCCGGTCCAGCCAGCAGTCCCAGCACCGCGGTCGAGTCGGCAAGGCCGCCCACGCCACAGTGACCAAGGGCCGGCCCGGCTAGCGGACGACACAGACAATGGCAGAGCGCTAGGCCGGCGCCAGGATATGCAAATGGCGGAGACGGGCCGATGCTCCTCGCTCTGCCTTATCGTCCAGCCACCAGGCCCGACCAGGCCCCACCAGGCCACCGGGACAGCCCGACCGCCAATTTGCCTTGCTAAGGGCGCGTCATCAGGCACAGTGTAGGCACTAGCTTCACGTGCCGACCGCGACAACAACAAAAAGACAAGCAACAAAAATCGGGGCAGGGCGTTTCGGCACGCAAAGCTACGCCGGGCAGCTAGTGGAGAGTGTGGCGCCTGCGACGATTGTCACACATTCCCTGGGAATCCGGCACGCGCGCAGGACACGCACTCACGCGGGGTCGCACTGACAAAAAACTGCAGTGAATCCAGGTAATTTTCACACCAGCCTTCGCGACAGTTTCAGCTATTCACTGTACTTTTTTCCCCCACAGACAGTGCACCGGCCGCTGAGTGGAAGCAACGAACGGGCTCCTCAAATCCAAGCAAAGCTGCGCGAGACGCGGAGAAAGATAAGCCGCGCGGGTGTGGGAAAAGGAAAAAACATGTCATAATGGTAATGATGATTCGTACGGGGGCTGCACGCCAGTCGGCATGCTCGGCGTGACCTCCGCCGCGCGGGGCGGGGCGGGGCGGGGCGGCCAGGGCCTAGCTGACAGTTGCGAGAGTCCAAATTACTCCCGGGATGAGAAAAAGACTCCCTCCTAAGCCGCGACGCCAGGCAGGCCAACAATGCAGCGCGAAAAGCGCGGCCCAAAACTCCCACACCAACAAACAACGCGGAGGGAGACCGGCAGGCACACTGCTTGCCGCTGCTTGCTTGGAAAATGTGTAGGAAGGGGGAGGGGGAGCACTCAAGAGGCAGACTGCAATGCCGAGTAGTTTTTCGCAGCGCTGCTGCGCCAAGCCCTTCACACACACCACCACCACCCACCCCGATGCATGTTCGATTTGGCGCACGCACACACACACAACGCGGGGCTTGTTGGAGTGCGTGAGTGTGCGTGTGTACAGTGTGTGTACACAGCAGCCCGCAAGGCGTGCCTCCATAAGCACCCCCCTTCTTAGGACGCGCATGCAAGATTTATCGAATTTATCGGACAGCAGACGCGACGCCGACTCCCCCGCCAGGCCAGGCCGGCGCCGTCATCGGCTACAAGAAAAACGCTTGCCTTTTTTCCGTTCATGGGTTCATGCATGCATGCATGCCGGCAGGTTGGCGGCGTGTCCGAGTGGCAGTGCGTGGCAGTGCGGCAGGGAAGCACTGGCGGCAGGGCGGCAGGCGGCGGCAGGGCGCCCAGGCCCAGGGCAGAGCCCTTCCCGGACGTGGGAGAGTTCCCACACGGGGAGCCTCGCTGGCCAGTCGCCGCCACAAACGCCTCGCCTCGCCGCAGTCCAGTGGTCGCTCCGTCTCTCTCGCACCCACACGGAGCGCCGCACGAGTGCGACAGAGACGGAGCGACGAAACGACTCGTCTGGATCGCTCGGCAGTTCCAGCGGCGGCCGTAAAGTCCGCGGTCCGCGACAGCAGGCCCCACGGACGACAAGCAGCCCCCCGCCGCCTCCACGACCGCCGGCGCCGCGACGCGCAGGTGGCTGACGGGGTGCTAATGAGGAAGCACACTGCGAACGCGAAGCACGCGAAGCGTCCCAAAAGCCGCCCAAAAGACGCGCTTTTCGCAGTCGCTAACTTTTTGGAGGCTCGACGACGGCGACGCCCTGACCCACACCACTGCAAAGGCGGCGGGCGCGGCCTGTGGAGCGCCGCGTATCGGCCGCGACACGGCGCCACGCGTCCGGTCGGACTCTTCCACTTCCGGTGTCGACAAGGCGGAGGGCCCCGCGAGCCTCCAGACGCGCTATCTCCTCGTTAGCACACCGTCACGGGGTCAAGGAGGAAAAACAAACTCGAATCCTTGGCCCAAAAAAGGGCGGCGACGACCGACTAATTCCGGACAGGGTGCATGCATTCGTCGCTGTCTCTCGCACTCACGGGGCGCCCCGCGCGCGTGCGAGAGAGACAGAGCGACGGAAGCCATTAGCGCTATTGGCCGGCACGGGCGTGCGCGCGGCGTGCCGCGGCGTGCCTCGGCAGCCAGTTTAGCGCTTTCCCGGCGCGCACGCCACCCGCGCCAGCAGGCTGCCCAGCACGCAGCAAGCAGCGCGATGCAGGCGGTAACGAGCACAACGCCCGGTCAACGAGAAGAGCCTCCCGTCAAAACCATCGCGGGAAAAGAACCAACGACGAGCGAAGAAACCGCGGGGGCGGCGCCGGGATTCGAACCCGTGACAGCACCGCGTATTGTGTGTCAGACAATCAGGCGCCAGTCCGAGTCGCTTACGCCCCCGCGCCGCCCCGCCAGCCGATCACAATATAATGCCCGCGCATTTGCTCCGCGGCGGGGCGCGGGGCGGGGCGCCTTTCACCGGCCGAGGTCGTGAGCGGGGGCGGGGCGGGGCGGGGCGGGGCGGGCGCCGACAGTAAGCAATAGGCCTGTCGCAGCATCAAGCATAGCCAGCCTCTCTCAATACGCTCGCTCCGCCAGCAACCGCAGCCAGCGCCCTGGTTGTAGCCGGCTCCGCCCGCCTCGCCCTACTAAAGAAGTTACTCCCGGTGGTGCTGCCCGCGCGGCGTGGTGCGGCGTGCGACCGCCACCACGGCGACGAGGCGATGAGCTTGTCAAAGCCGCGCACTGGACGCGGGGCGCGGGGCGACGCGGGGCCGTCCGGCGGACAGACAACGAGTCGCCTTGTGGTGGCGGTTGGGTTGGACAGTGTCGCAGTCGCACAGTCGCAGGCCCTGCGGTACAATGCGGTGCCTGTGGCCGAACACGTCGCTCCGTCTCTCTCGCGCCCCCGCGGAGCGCCCCGCGAGAGCGAGGGAGACAGGGCGACAAAGCCCGTGTTTGGAGTCGGCCCGCAGAGCGCCTGTGGGAGCGCGGCGGGCGCGGCGGGCGGGGTCACGGCGTCACGCAAAGCGCACGGGAGGGTGTGTGCAGGGCGGCCCCAGGGCCCCCAGGGCCGGGTCGCGCATAGGAAGGCAGGCAAAGGCAAGGTCGGCTTGGGGGAGAGAGAGGTCATGTCATGTAAGCGAGAAATCGCGTGCCCCGCGCTGGGCCTTCTAGCTCGCCTTCTATGGCCTATGCAGTGCAATGCTGGGCCATGCTGGGCCGGCCAGCCCCGGGGAGGAGTGGCGCAGGCGGCGCAGGCCATAAGCCAGGCAGGCAGGCCGCGGGGGCAAGCTGACCCGCCGACTCACTCCACTGTCTCGCTCGCACGCTTGCCGGACGCCCCACGAGTGCGAGTGGGACAGCGCGACCAAAACACCGTTCGGAATCAGCCCCGGCCCAACAGGGTACCCGCGGGGCCCGATTCGCACCCGATATCGATCAGGCCGCACGCCGAGGCGCAAAGGCGCAGAGGCGCTGCGAGGGCGCAGCATGGCCAGCTCCGTGCGGCCAGGGCGCCCTTCCGACCGCCCCGCCGCCGCCAAGCCGCGAAGCTCGAATCGAGGTCGGCGTCGACGCCACGGCCAGGCCCACGGCCAGGCCCACCAGCACAGCGCCGTCCCTGTCGCGCTCCGGCGGAACGCCCCACGAGTGCGAGAGAGACAGAGCGATGAAAGCGCTGTTCGGAAAGGGCCCGCAGGCCCGGCAGTCCGGCAGAGTTCTGCAATGGGCGGGCGGTCTCTACCCGCCGCCTCAGACGTGCGAGAGAGACAGACAACGAGCGAGGGAGACGAGGCGGTAGTGGCGTGGCCGACGCTACAACTGCAACTTGCCGAACTCTTCCGATTTGGCGGGTAGGCCTCTACCCACGGGCTCGGCTCTGCTCGGCTCCCACTCGGGCCCGACCTGTCAGCCGAGCGCGCCGGTAGCGTGCCGTGTGGCGTGGCGTAGCCGGCGCGGAGCAGGCGTGGCGTGGCCAGGCGTAGCGCTCGTAGGCAGAGTTGGTGGGTACCCGGTCTACCCGCTCAGCTAGTCTGGTCGGGCGGCCACCCTACCCGTGGCCAGGCGCTGGGTAGGGTCGGGCGCCGGACCAGGAGTGGTGCCTGAGCCAACGGGTAGAGGCCGCCCGCCCAATGCAGAACTCTGCAGTCCGGCCGCCGCACGCGCGTGATAGGGCGCCATCAGGCACGCCTAGCGCCGCCACCTTCGCGTGCGCGCACGCCCCACGACACGCGGGGGAAGACCCGAGACCGTCCGCGACCCGGCGTCGGTTTTTTCGGAGAGGCAGCACGGCAGCAAGAAACTGGAGCGGAGTGGGGCCGCCATCGCCGCCGTCGCGTCCCCGCGCAATGCAACCCTCCATCCTCCGTGGACGTCACCGCTCCAAAAGAAACGGACCACGGCAGCGGCGCTGCTCGGCGTGGCTGGCCAAGACCATCCGCAACATGCTGCAGAGAAACTCTCAGCTCCGCGCATCACGGCATGGGGATGGAGGGCATGGGATGGGGTACCGACAGGGACAACCCCGCGGCGGGGCCCCGCCTCCCGCCAAGCCCTCTTAGCGTGCCTCGCGGGCCTTCCTTCCCGATCCGCGAGGTCCGAACCGGAGCCGAGCCGAGCCGAGCCGCGCGCCGCAGCAACAACAAACAAGACCATTTTTATTTCCTGCCCGCCCCGCCGCGCCCCGCCGCGCCCAGTCACGTGCCAGATGGACTCGACTGCGTTTTGGATGAAGTAATGAGCGTTGCGCCGCGGTATCACTTTAATTGGCCGGACCGCCGTGGAGCCGCGGGCCGCGCCGCTTCCTCATCAAGCAGACCCTCGCCGACGTGCCGCGTACGCGACTCGGCCACGAAGGCGGCGCTTTTCAGCCGCTTTCCACCCCTTTTTGGGGCCCGTTTTCGTGGCAACGCGCGGACCGCCACTTTCGAGCGGGCTGCAGCAGCATGTATAGTCCTGCGCCCCATTTCTTGACATTGTCCGCTCGACCTCCCCGTCAGGCAGACGGACAGACGGACGGCCAGACACTGTAGATAGATCCGCGGCCCGCAATTGCCTCGACGTCCAATTTCGTTCCGCCGTGTCGCGGTCGGCCCTGTTGGGCTGCCCCTGTTGGGCTGGACGGCAGCTGCGCCGTCGTCGCTCAGTCGCTCTCTCTCGCACCCGTGCGAGAGGCCCCCGCGAGCGCGAGAGAGACAGCGACGAAAGCGCTGTTCGGACAGCGGTAAGTGGGGCCAAGCAGGCCAAGCAGCAGGCCGGGCACACGGACCTAACAATGCGTCGCGTCGCCCCATTCCGTTCCATTCGCGGCGTAGCGGCGCCACTACACTGTGGCCGCGGCCGGCAGCACAACGTGGCCGCGGTTAGGTTGCGCGTCGCGCCCAAAAGGAGCCCGGCCCGGCCAATCCTGCCAAATGACTCACTTCACTTCGTGACCGCAACACGCGGAGCACAAACATGCAGTGCACCCGGCATGTGCACGACGCGGGCACCTGCACCGCGGGTAATGCGTTCGGGTTCCTCGTCACCCACATCGTGATTGCCATTACCGCCAAGAGCACAGCAGGTGACTTCACCCACCGATGCCGATTCTCGACGGCAGCTGCTCAAACACACGCCAAGTCGACCGTGGCGGCAACCTTTGGTGGACGCTGACGCCACTGCAGGCCACTGCAGGCCACGGCACGCGCACGACGAGCAGGTGGCCGAGGCGCACACGGTCGCCACGATTAACGCGCACCCCATCGATAGACAGCCCGGCGATAAAAGACCGCCAGTGACACTACGCCGCAGCGGCAGGTATGAGACCGCCCTCCCGCGAACGGGGTGCCGTGGCGCCGATAACCACCACGCTGATAGTTGCAGCGGGGAAAGGAAGCCAGCAACACTCTGTCTCTCTCTCGCACACGCGCTGGCGCCAAGGGCCCAAGGGCCACGCCCCTCGCACCCCAAGGCCGGGGCGCACCGCACCGCGCATGACGCACACCTGTTAACGTAATAACCGCCCCGCCCTCCCCGGACTCCTACACCCTATTGATCCGGCGGGGCGGCCTGTCGCCGCCGCCAGGACGCCGATGACGATGACCGCGTCCGGGGCAAATGTTTCATTAGGTTCGCGCTCGCGCAGGCCGGCTTAGACTGGCCGTGCTGCAGCCATGGACAGCGCTCCAGCGCCACGGCGGCGACGACGGCGACAAAACCCGACGCGCCCATCCCTCCCTCTAGAGGGCCTCTAGCCGCCAGGCCTCCAGGCCGGCGTCCTCCAGTTCCTTCCTGCCGCCACATTGTAGCGCCCTCCGCCCGCCCCCGCCCCCTTTCCACGATGCATCTCCCACACTTTCGCGTCGCGACGCCCCGACACACAAAGCCGGCCGCCACTTCCAGCGCTCCAGCACCGCGCCAGCGCCGCTCCAGCGGGCCCTTCCTGTATGGAACCAGGACACGCGGGAATGTCGTCGCCAGCGAAAGCGACGACGACGTCCAGGGACTTTCAACGCGACGACGCAAAGACGGAGACAAAGGCAAAGACGCTCACCCTGCCGACGAAGAAGCGGCGGTAGCAGCGCGCCGTCTCGTCCGTCTCGAACTTGTGCGCGCGCCAGTCGGCGTGCGGCAGCACGGGGTTGCCCAGCGTGTCGAAGGCGCACTCGTGCTCGGCGCCGTCCACCCAGTAGCCGCGGCCGCCCTGGGCGCCCGGCGGGCAGCCCTGCTGGCCCTCGGGGGGCAGCACGATCATGGGGAAGGGCGCGGGCCGCGTCAGCGCCTCCTCCAGCTGCCGCTGCGACGCCGACACCGCGGCGGGGGCGGACGACGCGGCGGGGGTCGAGCATGACGACGACCTCTCCTCGCGAGACGCCTGCAACAACAACAAGGAAAGCACTTCCATTAGAAACGAGCAACAACAACAACATTCGAGAGGCCGCGCTTCGCGCTCCTCGCCGCGTCAATGAATGAATAAACGGAATGAATGCCCGGGCCGTGTGCCACACGGTGTGCCCGACGTGTGCATTCAATACACTGTAGGATGCGGCCCGGACGCAGGGCCGGAGGCTCAGGTGGAGCCACATGCCACACTCAATAGGCAGGCCGTTACTTTAATTAATGCAGGAGAAAGAGAAGAAAGGCGCAATGCACGCCGCCGCGGCGCCCTGGCAGTCCCTCTCGCACCCCGACGGGACGCCGCTCGAGAGCGAGAGAGACAGAGCACCGTTCGGAATCAGTGGGCGCACAACGACGGCGCACTGCGCGCTCAAAGCGGCGGCCGACGGCAATGTGTCCGCCGCGGCCCGTACCGCCCCGCCACCGCCCCGCCACCGCCCCGCCACCGCCCCGCCACCGCCCCGCCCCGCCCCCAGGACTCCCCGCTGACCGTACAAAGCGCTAGGACCCTGCAGGACCACACGGGACGAGACGCACTACAAGTTGCGCGGGGCTATTAGGCGTGTCGCCTGTAACGCGATCCGACCAGTCAAGCCCAGCCACGCCACACAGTGTGCCACACACGCAGCGCGTCGCGGCGATTCGCACAACAAGTCGGCAACTCTAGCTTGGAGTGTACCGGCGGGAGCCACGCACGGTGCAGCGCGGTGCGCGGGTGGATAACAGTATAGTATAGAGTTGCCGACCCAATCTGACGGCTGCCTCGTGGGGCTTCCTGGCAATAAGCCCCCAGCGGGGCGGCAACCCGCCCGCCGCCGCGCCACGCGCTTACAGGTGGGTGGTTTGGGCGTATCCTGCCATCCTGCGCTGCCGCGCTGCCGGCGAGGAGGGCTCCCTGTGGGGAACCTTGTGGGGGATCCCTGTAATGTCCTGGAGGGTCCTGCAGGCCCCAATCCTGGAGGCAGGGCCCAGGCCCAGGGCCACCCACCCAGACGGGGCGAGGCGAGGCGAGAGAGATGCCATCAACAAGTGCATGTCCAGGGCGGGGCCATGGCGGGACCCCTCGCCGCCCGTCGAGCGGCGGAAGTGACCGGGAGAGGGGCGGGGGAGGGAGAGAGAAGGTCAAGAGACCCGAGTCACGTCGCAAAGTGGCCAAAGGCGGGGTAAAAATCACGCCATGGAAGGCTCTTTAAAAACCGCCGCGCCCGGCCCGGCCACGCCGTCCGAGACAATGTCATTGCGGGCAGAGCGGGGCAGAGGGCAGACATTCCACGGAGTGCATCATTTTTTGGGCCGTCGCTCGGCACGATTTCCATCCCCGCCGTTGCCGTTCGGCCGTTGCATCACGCACTTGGCGTGCGAACGGGCCCTCCAACGGGCCGCGGCGCCGCGGAGCTCCACTCGAAAAACAAAACAAAACGAAAAACAGGCGCATTTACCCGGCCGCACGATTTCCACCGAAAGCCGGGCGAGCGTTCCGAATCGAGGGCCGACGCTCGTTCCGCGCGCGCTACAATTACGTCTTTTATTATTTTTTTCGATTAGGTTGGGAGAGAGAAACAGATGATTAAACCGCCCACCGCCCCGCCCCCTCCTGCAACCCCTGCTCCCTGCTACAGTGGCAAATTCCTGACGTCCCAAGTCAGTCGGTCATAGTCAGACTGCGGTCCAGAGGGGGGCGGGGAGGGAGAGGCCCTCGGGGGGGGGGGGGGGGGGCTTGGGCCGCACGGTGCCGTGCCCGCCCCGTCCCCAAAAGCCGGGGCCATGACGCATTCCTCCAAACTGTACCAACACACGCTGGGCTTGGGGCACACCGCCCAGGGCCCCCACGTCAAGGGGTGCCACGCTGCCACACTGCCACGGGCCCCACAAATTCCTCTCCCGAGCATTGATGAATGCGAGGCCCGACGTTAATTCCCTGTAAGAGAATGACGGGGGCATTTAAAGTGCATCCCCACACACAACCCACACACGCGCGAGGGCGAACGTCACCCGCCTGCGGGCAGGGCAGGGCGCGGCAGGGCAGGGCAGGGCACGGCAGCACTCTCCTCCTGTCCGAGATTCCCGAGAGGCAGTAAGGGCTCGAGTCCTACAAGGCTATCCCGCCCTAAGCCCCACGGCGACGATCAGAAACCCGTCCCCTTCCCCTGCTGTACTTTCATTAGGACGAAGTGACGTCACCCGGGCCGCAGGCCGCAGGGCGCAAGGCGCCGCAGGGCCGGGCGGCGGTCCAGCACTGCCAGGGCACTGCCCAGCGCACGCCGGACAGGGCCAACAAGGCCTTCAAGGCCCTGGTCCACTCCAGCGGGGCAGCGTCCCGCTCCACTCTTTTCCCAATCACCAGTCGTCAAACTCGACAGGGACAGACTACTCAGCGTGACGTTATCGGCATCGACCCTTCCAAGCACCAGCGGTAGCGTGGCGTGGCGTGGCGTGGCAGGGCGTGGCGGGGCGTGGCGTGGCGGGGCGGGGCGTGCCGCGGGGGTGGGAGCGCGTCCGTTGGGCCGCGCGGCGCACGCTTGGGTGCGCTCTGCTTCCGCCGCGGCCTACAGTGCAGTGGGGGCGGCACTGACCCGCACCGCACCTGGCACCCCATCCACCACGCGGCGCAGCGCGCGGCGCCGACAGATTTCACACTCGGCTTGCTATCCGCGCGGAGTCGACGCGACACGGCCAGCAGACTGATTCCGAGTCGTTCTCGTCGCTGTCCTTCTCGCACTCGTGGGGCGTCGCGTACAGGAGCGAGAGAGACAGTCAGGTTTTGGCCGGGGGAAGCAAAAAGGGGAAAGAACCCGGGGTGTTTATTTCTCGGCCCAAACGGCTCCGCAATCACCGCGTACACCGCGTGCCAAACCACAGTGCATCGGCACTGGAGAAGGGGGGAATCAGGCAGTCAATGGCAGCAAGGCTGCGTGTGTGTGTGGCCATTTCTTTTTGCATCTGTTTATGCCGGCGGCGAGTCGCGGAGGCAGGGACCGCGGCAGGGCAGGGCGTGCGCCGAGCCGACGCGCCGACGCCCATCCCGGCGTCATCGACATCGACAGACCTGTCCCCCAGCCACGGCTGCCACGGCCCACCCAGACGGCCGTACGCAAGCCGGCATAATGATACAACGTGCGAAGACGAGTCTCCTTCACAGAGCGACACCAAAAAATCCAAGATTCCACACACGGAGAGGCGCGAGCGGCAAAACTCCAGCCTCCACAACGACCACGACGATGAAGATGACAACACCTGGCGGCCGATGAAACGAGCCAGAGCCAGGACGGCCGGCGTGCTTGCGCCGCCACTCGCCACTGGCGCGCCAATGCCATTTTGTCTATGGGGAAGGCACTGGGGCCACTTACGGGCACGCCGACAAAGTCACGCAGCGGCCAGGCCCAGGCCAGGCCCAGGCCAGCGCGGCGGGGTGGTGGTGCTCGCCGAGGCCCCGGACGGCCGCGCCCAGCAGACCTCTGTCTCTCTCGCGCCCCCACGGGCCCACGGGGCGCCCCGCGAGTGCGAGAGAGACAGAGCGACGAAGCCACTGTTGGCGGCGGCGCCCCCGCCCCCTCCGTGTCGTGTCGGCCCGTCAACTTTCCGAAGAGCACGCGGAAACGGCGCGCCGACGGCAAAGTGCCCCGCCAGTGGGCCTCACCTTGGGCCGCCTCGGGGCGCCTTGGGGCACGCACGCGTCAAGTCGACAAGCCGAGCCGAGCCGTGGGCCCCAAACCCCAAACAAGAATACAGTAATCCCATTCCGGGCCTTCGTTGCTCGTTGTCCGCAGTCCGTTCCGGCCGGGAGGAAGTCGGACGACAAACCGGCCTCAAGACTGATTCCGAGAGTCGCTTTCGTCGCTCTGTCTCTCTCGCACTCATGGGGCATACCCTACAGGTGCGAGTGAGCCAGGGCGATGAAAACGACTCTCGGCATCAGCCTGCTACGGGCACGCGGGGCGGCGACACGGGCCGCCGAGGGCCGCGAGGAAGGGCAGGGCAGGGCAGGCCCCGTTACTGCACTTAGGCCCTCGAGGTGGCGCAGGGCGGCGTGTTTTAACGGCCCATCCGTCCGGGCGGACCCGGGCCGACCCGGACCGACCTGGCGGACGGACAGACGGAAGGGCAGGCCCATCGAGCGGACACGACCTTGACACGACCAATCAATGAACTGCGACGCACGGCAACCGCGCCAAAGCGAATAAAAACGCAGCTCAGAGAGAGACGGCCGCAGACCGAGAGGCAGAGAGAGCGAGAGAGAAGCGTCCACACAAGGTACAGTCGGCCTTTCGGTTGCCAAGCAGAGACGCAGGCAGGCAGGCAGGCGGGCACACGCGCGGGCCGCGGAGACACAGCGACAATTTCCATTCAAATGGAGCGAAGAGTGGTGGAAGCAAACGCCGAAAAAACGCGTTCGATGAAGCGCGGACGGCCGTCGCCGTTTCACTCGGCAAGAAGAGCGTCGCGGCGAGAGGGAGAGAGAGAGAGGAGGGCCAAAAAGGCAAGGCAGTCAAGCCTCGGCAGGTAGCGGCGGAAAAGCAGTCGCGGCCCGTGCCCTTGGGCGTTGTGCCGTGGCGTCGCGCCTTCAAGACGGATAGGGCCGGTGCCGGTGGCGGTGGCAGGCCGGGCAGGCAGTCATCAAGCCCGGCGAGGCCCTCGCGAACTAATCGGCGCGCCACGCGTCGCCGTCAACAACAAGACCCTCCGACGGACTTCCGCCTCGCACGGCTTGACTGGCGGGCCGGCCGCCGCATCCAGGCGATGCCTTTCCCCGTCCGCGGCCCTCGTCGTCGTCGTCGTCCTCGCGTCGACGGCGGCCTCTCGCCGCGGTGCGCGCCGCAATAAAACACAGTCGACGACATGCAGTGCGCGATCGTGACTCTGGCAGGGGGCCGGCGTGCCGCCCACGCGGATGGGGGTCAGCGTGTCGACACCACGCCCGTGAACACGCCCCGCCCCGCCCCGCCCCGCCCCGCCCCGCCCGGCCGCCGTGGCCCCGGG